GAGAAGCTCATATCTGTTCCCTTTAGTAAACTGTACTGTCTTTAGTTAGCGGAGGTGCTGGTGGCTTTAAAGTCCCATCCATAAACTCAATCCCAGTATAACTTACGGGTGTGTGTGCCTGTGTGTGCTCCTGCAGAATTAGGGTAGATAAGTGGGAAAGAAAGGAAGATGCTGGGAAGGTAGAACAAAGACAGTGGAGGCACAGCTATATTTATGGCCCCACGTACCACTGACAAACTTTATAAACCGATCTCCTCTGTATAATTCCACCACCTAACGTGTCACTTTTGAAAAACAAGAGTGTACATATAATGTACATACTGCATGTAAAAATGGGAAAAATCTAAAAACAAACAAACAAACCCATGAAGACTTTGGATTGTATTTCTGTAGCGTTTGAAAAGAATCATTTTTAGGTTCCATTAAAATTAGATCTTATCTGTTGTAAAACTACAGGGGCTAAACCAGAGATGTTTATCATAACTACATTCGACTGAACTAGCAAAGCTACTCTCCTAGAAATGGCTGTAATTAGACAAAGGGACTTGAAACCTTTGAGACATTTACCAAGGTCAAGTAAATGTCCTGGCCGCTGCTCTCTATGATAATATGTGGAATGAGCATATTAGAGAAGCCCAATGTGGAAATACAGGTGGAATAAAGAAAAGTGACAATGCCTTCAATTCAATCACCTCATTTAAAGAAGTAAAACGGGCAATAACTAAAAAAGCAACGTAATGTGCTAGAAGAGTCAGCAAGCTTCTGAGTCTTGGCTCTATTATTAACTTGCTTTGAGACATTAGGCAAGTAATTCCTCTTCTCTGGGGTCTCAGTTTCTTTTATAACCAAAATTAGGATAATTATACCTTTTCTACATCTTTCATAGATAGATATGGGAAGGTTCAAATAAGATAAATGATACAAATGCAGTTTACATAAAGTGCTACATGGATGGAAGAGACTGTTATTTTATGTTTATAATTCCAACTGAGATTTCAGGGTACATGTATGTTATAGATGGAACAGGACTCTGAATGAATTTTTTTCTTTAACATAGACAAATTTGATATCACTCATTAATCATCTTATGACAAATAATCAATTGTACTGTATTCATGGCACTTATATTTGTATATACATATATGTACATATAAGTATGTACATATATGTGTATGTGCACACACATATAAATATATATGTCTTAGCCAATATAATTTTTAAAAAGATGTATAACTATGAGAGGCCATGAAAAGCTAACAGACTATTTGTTCTTTACTTTCATTAGTATTACTGAGAGTAACTTGAACATAATATCTTTTCTATATTTTTATAAAAGTTTTACTACAGTATTATACATTAACAAAAGATGCATTCCCTGTATTATTACTGAAATAATAGATATCAAGGTACGGTTAATATAGCATAAGCGTTAAATGCCATTGCTCTAAATTGTGGCTGATTCAGATATGGAATACAAGAAGTGGTAGTAACTTTCAGAAAGATGGCAAGTTACAGAAAAGTTAAATTTAAAACTACTGCAACATTAGAGAATGACAAAAACCAAAGAGAAAGATCAACTGAAATGAATTTATTGCTACTTGATAGGAATCTCCTATGAAGCAAGATAAAACTTTTATTTCTTTATTAAGCTATCTTCTACATAAAGATGCATTCTATTCAAATTAATTAAAATTTCATTTCAAGAGCTGATTTGACTTCTGCTAAATACATGTGTCTCTACTCCCTCTCCTCTCACCATCTTCTGAATTCGCTGCAGTCTGGCTTCTAACCTTATCATTCAACTAACATTGCTCTCTCTAAAGCTACCTACGATTTCTTAATTGCTAAATGTGATGGCCTTTCTACAGTCCTCATTATTAACCTTTCTGCAACCTTTGACACTAGGGATCACTCTTTTCTCTAGGTTTTGGGGACACTACTCTATCCTGGTTTTCCTCCTCCAAATCTAACAGCTCCCTGGATCTTGGTCTTGTTGGAGGGATCTTCATTCCGGTTGCACCTGCTAACTGTAGGCGTTCCCCAAGGCTCTGTCCTGTGCCCTCTTCTCCCTCTCTACTACTTCACCTGGTGATCTCATCAGTTCCCATAGATACAATGATCATCTCTATGTAGATGATCATCAGATCTATTTATCCAGCCCTAGCCTCTCTCTTGGCATCTGGCTTCACATCACCAAACGTGTATCAGACATCTTGAAATGGACATCTCATAAACATCTTAAATTTAGTATGTCCAAAATTGAACCACTTTCTCCCCCAAAGCCTCCCTTCTTCCTAATTTTCCTGTTAACTACCCAGGGTACCATCATCCTCCCAGTCCTCCAGGCTCAAAACTTGGTGTCATCCTTGATTCTTTGTTCTCCCTTTATCCACCCCCCCTCCCCATCTAGTCCAGTCAGAATGGTTTTGTTTGTTTGTTTGTTTGTTTTCGGTGAGGCTTTTGGGGTTAAGTGACTTGCCCAGAGTCACACAGCTAGTAACTGTTAAGTGTCTGCGGCTGGATTTGAACTCAGGTCCTCCTGAATCCATGGCTGGTGCTCTATCCATTGCGCCACCTAGCTGCCCCTTAGTCCAGTCAGAATGGACTTTAGAAGAACAGCTGCCAAGCACCGTCATTTCTACTTTTGTACCATCTCTCCAATATGCCCCCTTCTCTCCTCTGACACTGCCACCCCCTCCCCCAACAGTTCTTCATGATCTCACCCCTGTACTATTTCTAGAGCCTGCAGGTGGGTCTGCTTGTCTCATGTCTCTCCCTATACCAGTCCATCCTCCATTCAGATGGCAAACTGATCTTCCTAAAGGCAGGTCTGACCATGGAAGCCCCTACCCCACTACTCAATAAACTGTAACAGCTCCCTATGACCTCAAGGAGTAAATATAAAATCTTATATTTGGCTTTTAAAGCCCTTCACAACCTGGCCCTTTCCTACCTTTCTAGTCTTTCAGGCAACTTGGTAATTTAGTGGATAGAATTGTGGAGCTGAAGCCAAGAAGAAGACCTGAGTTCAAATCTAGCCCCAAAAACTGTGATCCTGGGCAAGTCACTTAACCTCTGCTTGATTCAGTTTCCTCCTCTGTAAACTGGAGATAATAACAGCACCTATCTCCCAGGGTTGTCGTGAAGATCAAATGAGATATTTGTAAAGTGCTTTCAAACCTTAAAGCATTATACAAATGTTAGCCATTAGCTATTAATAGTCTTCTTACATCTTACCCTCCAGTTCTGATTGACCCTGGCCTCCCTACTACTCCTCGCATCAGGCATGTCAGCTCTGGACTCAGAGCATTTCCCCTGGCTCTCCCCAGTGGCTGAGGGGGCGGGGAGGGGGACATTTCAATCTCCTTCATCTGCACCTTCTGCCTTCGTATCCCCAGTGGTCTGGCGCATAGGAGATGCCCAATAAATGACTGATGACTTGACTTATGTTTAGAGCATAAACTTCTTCCTCTTTTTACAAGGCTATAGTGTTAGAAAGTACAGTCTGAATTGTACAAGGGCATCCATGGTAGAGGAAAACATCATTTAACCAACTACATTAACTTCTTTCTTATCCAACTTTCAAAACACAACTAAGGAACAAAGAACAGTAAAGCAGCCAAAAAAAAAAAAGCCCCAGAACACCAAAATAGATGTCAAAGTCTGTGCACTAAAGCTCTTACAATTTACTCAATAGGAAGCACTTTAGGCCTTCATCCATCCACAATTTACTCTTTATTTTAGACACAAATGCATAATAAGGACATTTTTATGATATCTCAGACAATAGAAGCTTAGGCGCCACAATGAGAAATGGGGCAGGGACTTCCTACGCTGACAGCAGGAAGAAGTCATAGCTGACAGCAAGGAGGGACCCCTCCCACACCTCCCCCCCAAAAAACCATACCAAACACAAAAACCCTAAAGAAAGCCATAAAAACCCAAAAAGCATATCACCAGATAGCACTTAATAAGAGTATTAACCAACCACCCTAGACACCCCAATAGCCTCAGAGGATACATACTATTACAGAACAATACAATAAAGATGAAGTACCCAACACCATACCATGCATTAGATATAGTAGGGGATCAATACTCATGGAATCCATGTGTATGACAATCCTGAGACATCAAGAAAAGATCAAATTATGTTTCATATGCTTTTTTTAAAAGAAGTATAATGGAGGAAGCTGGGTGGCTCAGCGGAGAGAGCACTGGACCTGGAATCAGGAAGACCTGAGTTCAAATCTGGCCTCAGACACCTACTATCTATGTGACCCTGGGCAAGACTCTGTTGGTCTCTGTGGAAGGAAATGGCAAACCAGTTCAGTTATCTTTGCCAAGAAAGCCCTATGGACAGTATGGTCCATGGGGTCATGAAGAGTTGGACACAACTCAATGACTTGACAACAACATCAACAACAACAAGGACTATAATGGAATTTGGAAAAAAATTCCACCAAAAAGATTTAACACATTGCTAAGTTTCAAATATCTAAAAAATGTAGATGTGGAATATCAAAAGAGGAATTATTGTATCTATTTTGTATATCATTAATAGTCAACTTTCTCACACTTAGAAGAACATTTCTACTGTTAACAGTTCTCTGTAAAAGAAACAACACTAGCTCACATCTACAAGGCGATTTGTGGCTTAGGAAGTGCTTTCTTCACAACTGTGTGAGGCAGGCGGAGGAAGAGGAAGACAATTCTCAGGGAGATTCAATGGCTCCCCCAAGACGACATAGCCAGCCCTGGACAAAAGCCAGGGTCCAAGCCAAGATGTGGCCAAGCTCTGAACTGAATGATGCTTCTGGTGCCCTGTGGAATGCATGCATTCAGAGAAGAGGGCAGGCCATTCACTACGGAAAGCAGCAATGGTGGAAATAAGAGCAGCTAAGGAGGATGAGCTCAGCTCTCTACCCTTAATTTGCTACTGGGGTCCATCCTGGGCTCCCAACTCTCTACACTACGTATTCCACTACACTTTTACTCACCTTTCTGAAAAACCAGTGTCTATAAACTCTCTAGCACGTTTTCGATCCCTAAGGGGAAAAAAGAGATAATATTTTAAAAGAACAAAAAAAAAAGAGATCACTTGATTCTTTTGAACCAAAATAAACATATGTATAGCTATAACTGACCTAAGTTTGGTAAAGGATTTATTTTGTCCCTATTTCATTTCAGATTTCATTTAAACAGATAAGGTAAATAAACACTAAGACAAATGAAATATACTATATAAAACAAGGTACAAAAAAGAATTGAAAGGGAAAGTATTTGAATGACTCCATTTCTGCCAAAATTCAGTACATTAGAGTACTATAGAGAAAAAATTTTTAACTGTGCTACATGAATACTATGATATATGAATCAAGAAATTTCAAATAAATTAGCTCACAAGTTGAAACAGGCTTTGGGAAGAAAAATACCATAGAGGATTACAAAGAAAAAGGGTAAGAGAATACTTTCACTAAGTCATGATCTTTTGACTCAGCCAGGAGTGGGGAACCTGCAGCCTCAAGGCCACACGTGGCTTTCTAGACACTCAAGTTGGGCCCTTTGACTGAATCCAAACTTCATAGAACAAATCCCCTTAACAAAAGGATTTGTTGGAACCCAAAGTTTTAAAAACAAATGTTAAAAATTATTTTTACATGCAACTGGGAAATGAGATATACAGGCAATGGGGTATAGAAATCTATCCTGCCCTACAGGAAAACAGAAGGAGAAGAGGATAAGAGAAGGAGGAGGTGATAGAGGGGAAGGCAGATTAGGGGAAGAGGTGTTCAGAATACATGCAGTTTTGGGCTGGGGAGAGGGGAGAGATGGGGAAAAAATCTGGAACCCAAAATTTTGTGGAAGAATGTTGAAAACTAAAAATAAATTAATAAAAAAAGACTAATGGGGAGAACATATATATATATACTGAGACATATATGTGTGTGTGTGTATATGTATATATATATATGTGTGTGTGTGTGTGTGTGTGTACACACACACACACACATACATATATCAGAACATGGAAGATAAATAGAGTAAATATAACTTTAGGGAGGACAGCATTAGAAGCTATGGGAATGGTAAAAATGCTGTTTAGAGGACGTGGCACTTGAGTCTGTCTTAAAAGAAGACAGGAACGGTAAGAGTCAATGGATGAAAGGAAGAGCCAGATATATTTCAAATACAGGGTTCTTTCTTTTCTATAATTACTTTTCAAAGTGCCAAAATCTTTGGATAGTGCCAAAATCTTTCATCTATATAACATATGAAGGAATGGGGACATGAATGGCCTGTGAGACTCCAAAAAACTTTCAGCAGCTTGGCCATGACTGCAGTCTAGGATTTTCTTTCCTGTCTTCTTGGATATCACTGTATACGGCTCTGGCTGCTCTTATCGTAACAAACAGAAGTAAAAGATTCACGCATTCTGTGTTTTCATCAGAGACAAGGAAAGGGAGATAATGGGTATCCTCCACTATCAGGTCCTATAGTATTTGGAAACCATGGCATAGGTGATATGTTGAAAGGGAAATCTAGGTAATGATTTGCATATTCACCTCAGAGACAAACATCCAATCCTTCATAACTTAATAAGACTGCCTAACAGTGAGGGTTTACTTGAAAGAATGTGACATTAAGATTTGCCAGTGACTAACTTGATATCAGGCCAAAACTTACTATCTCATAATTTCATACTCAGACATTCATCCCTATGCCAACAACTTGCTCTTCCTTATCATACAGATGATAAACAGGTACATCAGTCTAACAAAGTTTATGAGAATACCCCAAACCTGCCACTACACCACAACAGGGAGCTGGCGGGGCACAGGAAAGGTGAGTATCACTGTTTACCAGAATAGGAGGAAGGATACCCTGCCACACTGCCCTTGCACCTACCTGTTGGTACAACAGACACTAGACTCTTGATCTCACTCTACTTTTAATGATATTCACTGTATGTACTTACACTGTGATATATAAGCAATTGGCAGTAGTAGCTTTCTATTGTGTCCATCCTAAGAAACAACACTGATCAGCTAATAAATATTTTAATACATAAAAAAAAATTAAAAATAAAAGGATTTGTTCTGTAAAACCTGGACTCAGTCAAAAGGCCACACCTAGGACCTAGAAGGCTACATGTGGTCTCAAGGCTGCAGGTTCCCCATTCCTGATCAGCCCATTACACAACAGTACTGACTAAACCTCAGGGAAATAACTCTTATGTGGCAGATGATGGAGAGACCCTTCCAGGGCATGACTGAGACAAGTAATGTATCTACTATTCTCCCAAGTTTGACACTTATACTCTAGTATACAATAAAAACCACCTAGTGAATATTTAATAAGGGAACTGGAAAACAAAACTTTTGTAGGACCCTGAAATTACTTATAATTGTGAATGTAATTTTCAGCAGACATGAAAATCAGCATTTGGTCATTTTAATACTGAAAACTTTAAGCTCCAAATCCAAACTATCAAATGCTTCCCCTTCCCCTAATGTAGGAGGAATGGTTTCAATTGTTTAATCTACTGACCATATATCTAAAACTCATCATAAAAGAAACTTTTTTTTGCCATTAAAAAAAATAGTGATGCCTTAAAACAAATAAACACACATTTATCTCACAGCATGCCCACACTCATGGAATCCTCCCTTATAACAAGAAAAAACAGTTCAGAAAAACCACACCACCAAGCAACGTTGTCTGTCAGGGCATTAAGTAGTGAATGTCTGTATTTCAGCATCTGCCTTTTCCCCCCTTCTTTGCCCCCACCAATCATCTGTCCTCTGAAACCAACACTGGTTTAACCAACTCTGAACTGGTCTGTTAAAGTGAACTTTTAAAAAGGAAGCTTAGGGGCAGCTAGATGGCACAGTAGCTAGAACACTGGCCCTGAAGTCAGGGAGACCTGAGTTAAAATATGGCCTCAGACACTTGACACTTAACTAGTTTTGTGACCCTGGGTATGCCACTGAACCCTGACTGCCTTCCCTCCCCCCAAAAAAGGTTGTATTTTTTTTTTAATCTTTCGATATAAGAAAAAAAAATAACAGGAATCTCACATGTGTAACTATCTCCAAGAGGTTTGCAGCATTATTATTAGGCATTATTTCATTAATATATATAAATATCTGAAGCAAATACTTTACTCAAATAATGTTTATTAAGTTCTTTCTATGTAATAAGCCATGCTAGAGTCACCCTAGGTAAATGAATGATGGAGCAAGAAGTGGAATTAGCCACTGGGAACTGACAAGAACTGAATTCTGTTCCATTTCTTTACCTTGTGAATTTTGGAGAAGAGAGAAGGGTGGGCATTGTTATGAAAGATTTTGCCTTTTTACCCATGTGAGAAAATATGATACAGTTTTGGTTTCGTTTTTTGATATACAATATGATAAATACTGACAGATGTCAAGATCTTAAAAAAATAAAAACAAAACAATCCACAAGCAGGGTAGCCTTCCTGAGAAGTTTATTTCAATCTACCTGTCTTTCTAATTCCTTTTTCAGTTGCTCTGACTTGCACAAAGTGCAGCGTTCAGAGCACTGGACTGGAATCCAGAGGCCAATGTGTAAACCCCAGCTCTGGAACAGAGATTATTCTCCTCATCATACAATGAGGAGGCAGGACTAGAGAGTCTCCAACGTCGTTTCTAAGCTCTAAATCTATGATCCAATGATACTACTGAGAGCAGAAAATGGAAATGGCCAGGGAAAGAGCAATTCAGTCAACTGGCTTTTCATCAATGAAAATACATAACTTCTTTTTTAACATCTAAATCCAAAGATTTAAAACATGTTCTGCATTTCTAAGATGACTAATGATGTTATTCTTTTCTTGGTAACTATTCACTTTCAGAGACAGAAAAATTATTTCAGTTATTAGCATAACATTCTGGGTGATGACCTATTTGCTAATCAGGAAATACGAGGATGAAGACATACAACAGGCTCTCGTATTAACCAAACACACTTATGCCCTCTTGTCTTTGACCATAAAGAAGCCCACGTACAAAGGAAATTCTGAGTACAATCACCCAGGTATGTTGTGGCACATTTTGCTTAAAAGATTTTAAAGGACTGATGATTCCAAATGGAACATGATTCTTGGGTTGGTAGGCACTAAAGAGACATAAGGTAATACTGGAAGATAAGAAAGCAAAAAGAAAGTACTTTCAACAAAAAACTAAAAAATTAAACAAACTGATAAATAAGCCCTCTCCCTCCCCACTCCCCCCCCCTAAAAAAAGGCCTTACCCTGGAACCCAGCCAGTGGCTTCTGTCACATGTGTCTGCGTGACCATTGCTGGTGCAGGGCTATAAGGATTCCCGATCAGAACACTCCCAGAACTGGCTAGTCTTTGCGGTGTGCTTATAATCTGTAAATGTTAAAGAAGAACAGGAAAGATTCTTAAATACATAAAATGGTCTGAACAAAACCATGTCACTAAGGCGCATTAATATTAAAACACATAATAAATTCAACACAGGCTTGGAATCATGTTGACATAAACAGAACACTTAACCTGGGCCAAAATGCAAGTTTAAACAAGTCTACAATTTTGGAGGATTAAATCAGAAATATGAAAACCTTTCATTTGGTAATTGTGAAATCTGACTGTTGCACAAGTTGATTCACCAAAGCTAGTTTATATAATATTAGAGCTTCACATATATGTTTGGTGCTTTAAAAAAAAAAATTCAACATGAAAATATTAGAAAAGTTTTGTAAAAACTGGTCAGAGCCAAGCGATAAGAGACGAGGAAAATTAACATAAAATCAAAATTTAAAGCACAGTATAAAACTAGTAAAACTGAAATGAGAAAAAAATTCAGAAATTTCAAATTAATTCTTAATCATGAGTAAGTAGTAGCAGATGTCTAGGTACCTGAGTTCTATGTGAACCCTATTCCTTAGTCCTCAAGTAACAAATCTTCCTCATTTGGCTATTTTATTTTCTATAATAGTCTGAATTTCCTTCTTTTGGCTTTCTTTTACCAATTAGTATTCCTCTACTAGCTTTTTAAACCCTCCACACTTTTATTCCATCTGCTTTAGCAAATCAAATCTGTTTATTATTCCCATGTATGAATCTTCATTCCTGTTTTCCATTTTCCACAAAGGTGGTAATTTCTTTTAATTTTTCACAAATCTTCTAATTCTTCACCCACATTGTACTCACAATCAATCTCTTCATCAAGATTTTCTACATTACTAATCTCTTTATGCAAATAATCTAAACATATAGGCAGAATGATATATTGTAAGAAAGAAAACTGATTGGAATTAGGAACCCTGGCTTTAAGCTCCCACTGTCACTCTGACTCTACTAGCAGGGTGACTTTAGATGGGTCACTTAATCTTTCTGGGCTGCTTCCTCATTTTAAAACATGAATAATGATGAGTGCACTGTCTACCTCTCAGTGGTGGTCTATGCAAGTGCTTTGTAAATCATAAAGCAGCATAAAAATTTCCGTTGTAACAGTTAACATGAGCTACCTTGCTTCCTCTAACCATTCAAACACTTTTTTTTAAAAGATTGAGTGTTTAGGTGGCTCAGGGCTACAAAGTAATCATGAAGGGACATTTGTTGGAGAGGCATTATTTTGATGCAGTAGAAAGAACGTTGTATTAGGATCAGAAAACACGGGACTGAGCAAGGTTCAACTCTTCCAATTTTGAACCCCATGAATTTGGAGCAAATCATAATCTCTCTGTGCTTCATTCTCTCCCTCTGCAAAGTGAGGTTAACACCATCCCCCGGAGCTGTTGTGAGGACCAAATAAGACAATGATACTATCTTACTGATACAGTACTCTTCCAACATGGGTAATACAAGTGCTCCCATTTTACAGATTATGAAAGTTGCCTGCCAGAGACATGAAGTAAGTGATTCAGAGCTGCCATGGAGCAAAGCTAGGACTGGACTCATCAACATTCACTGGCATGTAAAAAAAATTCTTAGCATCTTTTTGCTCCTCTACACAGACACATACAGACACACACAGACACACATGCATATACATACATATAAGCTGGGAGAAATCACAGCTATATTGATTTCAAAAGGAAAAGTGAACTTGGTAAGTTGGGTTTTTTTTTTAAATCTCTAGAACACTGAAATGAGAGGAGGAAAAGAAGCTAGAGATTCTTTAATTACAGAAGACAATGTTGTTGTATTAACTACATTCAATGGCCAATTCATGACTGACTCATGGAAACTGTTGCTATATAACTACCAGTGCTTACTCACTGGCCACTTCAATATATAAAATTAAAGCAGACTCTATAAAGCAATAATAATTATCACAGCTAACATTTACATGATGTATTTTAAGTGTTTTAAGAGAACTGCTCTTTTTGATTTGATCTTCACAACAATCCTGAGAGGAAAGTGCTAATTTTGGGACCTCAAGGTGGTAGATGCACAGGACAGAGCTCCAGACCTAGAGGCAGGGAGACCTGAGTTCAAATGCAGCCTCAGATACGAGCTGTTTGACTCTGAGCAAGTCACTGCACCCTGTTTGCCTCACCTTCCTCATCTGTAAAACGAGCTGAAGAAGGAAATGGCAAACCACTCTAGTATCTCTGGCAAGGAAACCCCAAATGGGGTCACAAAGTGAAATACGACTGGACAACAACAAAAGTGCTAGTCTTATCCCCATTTTACAGACAAAGAAACTGAGGCTGACTTTCCAGATCATAAAACTAGTAAATGTTTGAGGCAGAATTCAAACTTAGATCTTCCAAACTCCACTATGCTATGGCAGCTACATGGATAGGATAGTGGATACAGGGGTGGAACTTGCAAATCAGGAAAACCCAGTTCAAATCCTCCTAACTACTTATCTGTCTTAGTTTCCTCATCTGTAAAATTAGTATAACAACAGTATCTACCTCACAAAATTGTTGCTAGGATCAAATGAATTAGCATACATAAAATGTTTCCAAACTAGCATTTTGTCAATGCTAGCCATTATTATTATAGAAATATAAAGTATTATTATTGCAATTGCTGTTTAATTTAACAACCATTTAGCCTTCCTAATTGTTCTCTTCCACTGACCTTAGTCCTTCCCCAGGAACAGAACTATCAGCAACCCAGGAGAACAGAGTATTCAAAGAGTTAACTCAATAGAAGAGGGCTGGAGACAAAGAGCATGGGCCCCTTGCTGTGAGCCAGACTTTTGTGCACTAATGCCCATCGTAACTGCCCTAGGGTGGGAGAGAACGCAGAGCAGGAAAGGCGGTGTAGAGCAGGGCAGGCCGGAAGAAAAACTTCATGGGCATTTCATCATCTTTCATACACCTTTTTTCTGTTTTCAGCTCCTTAAGTGGTTTCCTGCACCGGAGTCCTCTTTCACTTAAAACAGCAGGTGGTGGATAAGCAGTGACCTCTAAGGCCTGGGACATCATGCAGATACTGAAGTGGTTAAGTCACTGATTCGCAGTTCTCCCAGGGGAATGTGAAAACTGCTCAGTATCTGTCAAGACACTGGAGGATATGGAGCTCAGACTATTCCAATAAGAAAAGTACTAATGTGGGGAAAAAAACCTTTTATTTTTGTGGGGTCTCTTTGGGAGAAACCTCTCAGCAATTGCGTGTTTGTAGATACATTTTACCTAAAATAGTAGAGAGAGCCTTTGGAATAAAATACAAATGCCTAATCCTGACTCTGGAAGTTCTTCCCAGCTAGCTCCAGCCTGTATCTTTCCATTGGTATTTTATGTAACTCCCTTTCAAACACACCACTTTCAAGACGAAGTGAAACACTTGCTGTTCCTTTAAGCCAGCACCCCCTCTTCCACTCCAGCAGCTTTGTAGAGGTGCTCTACCTGCCTGCAAGGTGTTCACTCCTCATCTCTGTCTCTTAGACACAAAATTTCCTTTCAAGGCCTAACTCAGGCGCCACCTCCAGCCGGAAGCTCTTCTTGGCTCCTCTAGCTGCTACTAACTTCTTCCTCCTCAAACTATCTTCTGTTTATTTACTTGTCTGTCTGTATCTCCCAGTAAAACGTGAACTCCCTGAAGAAGGGCTGTTCTCATCTCTGCTTTTGTGTTCCCAGAGCCCACCAGAATGACAACTGTTTCATTCACTGCAAATGACAATTGCTATACAAGTATACAGGCGTTTTCAAGATCTGAAACAAGCATCACATGTACACACACAGCTTTAATAAAAATATGTAATGAAACAAGATACATATTAAAACAAAATCCATATGGAATACAAGTGCCTATCAGAGAAGTTACTTATGACAGCTCTTACAAAAGAGACGAGGAGGGGAGGAGGGAAGGAGGGAAGAAGGGAAGGAGGGAAGGAAGAAAGGGAGGGAGGGAGGAAGGAGGCAGCCAGGCACTATGTTAAGATTTTGTAAATTTGATCTCATTTGACCCTCACAATAAACATTTTGGGAGGTAGGTATATGTTCCCTATTTTACAGTTGAGGTAACTAAGGAAGATAGAGGTGAAATGACTTGCCCATGGACACACGGCTATTAAGTATCTCAGGCCATTATTTGATCTGGGTCTTCCTGACTTCTAGGTCCAGTGCTCTACCTACTGTGCCACCCAGTTGAGATACACACTTATCAAAATACAGTGAAAATGATGATAAATGATTTACCTCTCTAAGCGATCTCTGACTGTTTTGCAACTACATCCTGTTACTTTATAAGCTCTGAAAGTTCCTTTAGCAGAATCATGAGGGGCCAGACACATAAGCATTTTGGAGTCGTTCAGCCGAGAATAACTAAGAATATTATTCTATTCCACGTTACCAGGAAAGAGAATTAAGTAAACTTTTATCCATTCAAAGAACATTTAAAAGTGTTAGTCATCTTCTGTCAGTCAATCACTAGATAAATAAGGGGCAGAGAATCAATCCACACTCTTATGCATCTCAGCCTCAGAGGCTGCGTTGAGTGCACAATCATCTGCAAACAAAAAGTTGAGCCCAACTTTTTGAGCTCTCCCTCCAGTTTAGTCTTGGTTTGTAGCCTTTTCAAGTTAAATAATTTACTGTCAACATGTAGCTGACTTTGATGCCATTTTCATCCTCACTGAAAGTGTCCCACAATATCACTGAAAACATCTTGCTAACACACACAGGAGCAAGCACACAGCCCTGCTTCACTCCACTGGTGACTGGGAAAGCATGAGAACATTGTCTATTATCCAGAACCCAGACAAGCATGCCATCATTAAAATGACATACAATCCTGATGAACTTTTCCAGGTAACCATGATCTTCCACAAGCCCTCATGACTGACAGTATCAAAGGCCTTGGTCAGGTTGATGAATGTTGTGTACACACCCCTGTTCTGTTTGTGGCAGGTCTCCCAGAGTTGCAAACACCATATTGACTGTTCCTCTGCTCTACACTGGCTCTCGGGTAGATGACCATCTACCAGGCTAAGGATTAGACTATTAAGGAAGACTCTGGCAAGAATCTTGCCAGCAATGATTAGGAGAGAAACTGCCCTGTCAGAAGACAATTCATTTCCTTTTTCTTTATAGAGATGGAGGCATCTTTGAACTCCAGCAGAGGTGAGGAACCTGCAGCCTCGAGGCCATAAGTCCTCAAGTGGGGCCCTCTGACTGAATCCAAACTTCACAGAACAAATTCCCTTAAAGGATTTATTCTGTAAAACTTGGACTCGGTCAAAAGGCCCCACTCAAGGACCTAGAAAGCCACATGAGGCCTCGAGGTCACAGGTTTCCCACCACTATTAGGGGATAACCTCCTCTTGCCATATAACCTAGAATATTTCAGTCAGTTTTCACGTGAGTAGTGAACTCCCTGTTTTGTAAATCTCAGCTGGAACAGAATCAGCACCAGGTGCTTTGCTACAGGAGAGGAGCCTAATGCCATTCAAAACTTCTCGTTCAGTTGGACATTCAGCTTCAACACCAAGAAAACAGAAGTCCTCCACCAGCCAGCACCATACCTTCTATACGTGAAGTCATTAGTCACAGAGAAATTTTGTACACTAAGGATAAATTTATTTACCTTGACAGTATACGTTCCAGGAATGACCACACAGATGACAAGGTTGATGCACACATTGCCAGTGCTAGCTCAGCATTTGGGAGCCTCTGAATAAAAAGTGCAGGAGAAAAGAAGTAGGCTGCTTACCAAATTGAAGGTCTACAGAGCCACTGTGCTGACTTCACTCTTGTATGCCTATGAAACCTGGACACGTAACCCAAATGCCAAATCCACATTTACCTAACAAATTATTTTATGGAAAACTCACGTAAGGCCAGTGCTCACACAGTGGTCAGATGAAACAGTAAATGGATCCTCTCAAGGTCTCTCCCAGGAAACACTAGCACTGGACAGCCCAGCATTGCATGTCCACATCAAAGAAGATGCTGTATTCCATAAGCAAAGCAGAATAGTAGTAGCACAAAGGAAACTGAGCTACACAAATCTAGAGATATCTCTACTGCAAATGTTCTAATATGAACTACTTGTGCCTGCTCTGCAGTAGAGCCTTCTGAACTCTTACTGGACGATCAGCCACAGCTGAATACACTTTACCTTGACCCCAACATCATGATGTCATCGGTTCTCTTTGAAAACAAAGGACAAACAACAGTCAATAAACATTTATTACACATCTATTATGTGCTAGACACTGTACTAAGCACAAGGGACACAAAGGAAAGGAAAAGACAGTTCCTGCCCTCCAGGAGCTCACAATCTAATGGAGAAAGAAAACATGAAAGCAAAAATGTACAAACAAGATATATGCAAGATAATTATAATATATAATTATATTACATAATGTAACATATACAAGATAATAGAGGGCAGGCATTAGCATGAAGGGGCAACAGGGAAGGCTTCATGCAGAAGATGAGATTTTAGCTGGGACGTGAAGGAGAATATTCCTGGCAAGGAGTACAGCCAGTGAAAATTCCCACACTCTCGAGATCATACTGGATATGAACGGTACCATACCATGCTACGGATATGCAACAGAGCAACTGCCATCTATCACACCTTAAAGGTATTTTATAGGAAGGAATAAAAAACTTTTTAAAGAGAAGACATGACTTTCTGAATTTTTAAAAAAGGGTTTAGTTCACCACTGGTTTGTTAGAAATTATCGCACATACCCAAAAATTAAGAAAACAGTTACAGTATTTTAATGCATAATTCCTACTTCCCATCACTACTCACACTGAAAAGTTCTGCAATACAAGTGACCTTTCTTATGACTTCTCTGGAGCTAGGCTTCAGGTCTACTTAGTCTCAGAGTCTATGTAATTCACAGGCCACAAGGAACCTCCAATCACTGATAATCCTAAATATTCCTCTTCTCTCTCTTAAAATTCAACGTATATCTTGTATAGCACTACTAAGGAGTTCGTATCTGTGTGCCCACATCCTATGAAAGAATGGTAACAGCAGGCAAGCAAGCTAATCTGCTTCATTTAAAAAGATCTGTCTTTCATTTTTAAATACAGAAAAAAACACGGGGAAGAGTTTGTCTGGGAAGAGTTTGTTGAAACTAGCCGTTTCACTGATGTAGTCACCCCTTTAATCTTGCCCATTTCTCAGACAGCTATCACCAAATCACAATACCCTATTAGAATATGCAATGTACTTATATATGACAGTTTATGTACTTATATGTGACAGTTTTTGTTAAAAGAAGGAAAATTTACCAGTTGCACACCTGTTAGGGGTTTTCATGGTTGTATCACTTCAGTTAAAAATACCTTCAGAGAACTTTTTGTTTACAAAGTAGTCTCTGGATCTTGGTTCAATGGACTCTGGCCACATAAACAAAAATAAAAGGGGAAGAAATTATAATCTATTAACCACTACACAACTCCTGGTAGTATGGAATCATACTGTTATTAGTTCTTATCTCTGGGTTGTTGGATTTTTTCCCCCATTTTCTTCTATTCTTTTCCCCACCAATGTTAGATTTGTCAGCTATGATTTCTCACTGTTAATAATACTATAGTGCTATGTGCCAGGCATTGTATTAAGTGCTTTACATTTACTGTCTCATTTGCTCCTCACAACAACCCTCTTATAGATGGGGAAACTGACGCAAATATATCTATTTTTTAAAGTGACTTGCTCAGAGTTATACAGCTATTAAGAGTGTGAGGCCACATTCCTGACTCCAGGCCCAATGCTCTACCCACTGCGCCATCTAGCTGTTCCCCAGGCACCACTATGCCTACCTCTATGTGTCTGCCCTTTCCAAGAAGCTTTTAAACTTCCAGATGCTGGAACATTAATCAGTATATAAAGGAAGAGTCAATGAACAGTCCCTAGAGTCTGAGGACTTTTTCTTTTTTTTTGGCTAGGCAATGGAGTTAAGTGACTTGCCCAGGGTCACACAGTTAGTAAGTGTCAAGTGTGTGAGGCCGCATTTGAACTCAGGTCTTCCTGACTCCAGCGCCAATACTCTATCCACTGCACCATCTAAATGCCTCCAAGTCTGAGGACTTCTTAAGGCAGGCCTCAAATTTTTTGTTATGAGCAACTATTGTATTCCTCACCTGAAACCTTAGTACCATCAGAGAAAAAATGGTAAATATGTGTGTTGGGGTCAGGAAATCCCATTTAAATCACTGAGACAGATCCAGAATTTAAAAAGCGCTAATCAAACAAGCATTTATTAAGCAGCACTATGTGACAGGTACTGTGCTAGGCACTGGGGACAACAGTGACAAAGACCTAAGTCCCTCCCCTCAAAAAAAGCTTATTATGGGAGACAACATGTACATATACAGCTATGTTAAAAACACATACAAAAATGCTAGGTAGTTTTTTGAGGGGGGAAGGTACTAACCAGCTGTTACGGGGATGGGGTTGAAGGGAGAAGATGGGTCAGAAAGGCTTCACAGAAGGTGGGCCTTGAGTTGAGTCTTGAAGTAAACTGGGACTCTAAGAGGTAGGCTGAGAAGGTACATTCTAGGTACCACAGGGCAGCCAGTGCTAAGTATCATGAGGTGAGAGATGGAGTTTCCTGTATGAGTACAAGGGAGAAGGCCATTTGGCTGAACTATAGTGTGTGAAAGGAAATATGTAAAATGATGTGAGAAGTATGTTAGGGCCAGCTTGTAAATGGCTTGAAATGTCATGTAGGGGAGGCATAAGATCAGACCTGAGCATTAGGAAAATCACTTTGGCAGCTAGGAGGAGGATGGATTAGCATGGGGAGAGACTTGAGGCAAGAACGATAAGGAGGCCAGAAGTAAGATGACGAGGGCCTGCACTAGGGGTAGTACTTTCTTTCTTTGCCGGAAGGGAATCACTAAAGTACTAGTTAGTGAGCCACAGAGAAGGTAGGGTGGCAGCACTAAGTTCACAACGGTACCAGGTTTTGTCCATTACTGATCAACTGCTGCAAAATTACAAAAGACTACATTTCTTATGTTTTAGAAAAACCAATATATTTAGTTAAAATAATTCCCTCTTCATTTTTATACATATTTATTTATACAAACACACTTATGAGCTCACTTTGTCATTCATTTAAATGCAAAAACACTAACATTAGGAATCTCTCAATCTATGAAATTTTCTTTTTTTTCTTTCAGATTAGATTCTATCACACTATTCCTTTAAGTTCAAATTTCAGCACAATGGACTACCAGGAAGACGTTAATTAGAAAAGAAAAACCAAACAGAAACACCCATTCCAAGCATGTTTGAGATTCACTTTATAACTAATTTACATGGACACATTTCTACTTTTCAAAGTAGATGACAGTTGGTCAGGACAAGCAAAATGAGTGGTCTTTACTTCAAATCTCAGAGAACATATAACATAAAACATACAGTTAACCAAAATATAATAACCTGAATGCTGTGATAAGAGATCGGCTGACTGAATGAAAAAGTATTTAATAAGTATTTACTCTATGTGCCAAGCACTTGTGCTAAGTATTGAACTGTATGAGACTGCATGAGCTCCCTAACTCTTAGGTACTACTGCCATCTACAGTAAGAAAAGAACTTTGCTTTCAGGAGTAAAAACACTGATCATGCAAGGATTGCAAGGTGTTTCTATTTGATTTATACCTGAAACCTCTTCTACCATTTCTCCATCAATCAAAAAGTGAATTCAAGTCAAGTCATCAAGTGTTTATTAAGTCCCTGTCATGTACCAGCCACTGTGCTAAGTGCTAGTGATGCAAAGAAAGGAACAGTTCCTGCTCTCAAGAAGCTCATACTCTAATGGTGGAAACAGTATACAAACAACTATGTAAAAACAAGGAATCGGGGCAGCTAGGTGGCGCAGTGGATAGAGCACCGGCCCTGAAGTCAGGAGGACCTGAGTTCAAATCTGTCCTCAGACCAAACACTTGACACTTACTAGCTGTGTGACCCTGGCCAAGTCACTTAACCCCAACTGCCTTTTAAAAACAAAACAAAACAAGGAATACACAGGCTAAGCAGGAGGTAATCTCCGAGGGAAGGCACTGGAATTAAAGAGGGATGGGATTTTAGCTGAGACTTGAAGGAAGCCAGGGAAGGCAGAGGCAGAGACAAGAACACAAAGAATTCCTGGGGGAGCCAGTCAGTGTAAATGTTTCAGATGATGGAGTAATTTTTAATGTAAGTAACATCAAGGAGACTGGTGTCACTGGATCAGAGAGTACTTGGAAGGGAGCAAGATATAAAAACAATGTATAGATAGGAAGGCACCAGGTGATGAAAGGCTTTAAAAGCCAGAGGATTTTCATAAGGGTCACCTGTTGAACTCCCTAACAACCCATTACAAAATACTTCTGTCCACTGTATCAGAGAATTTTGACATCTTTGTTCAGGGAGAAAGGAAGGAAATTGCCTTTCATAAGTATCTTAAACACAAGGGGGAAAAGCCAAATTGTCTAGAAAAGAAAGGGTCTAGGGAGAGCCAGATCAAGGAGCCAAAGAGTTGTTAGTCTGAGCAGAATTTCAGAAGGGAAGACTTTGACTCTTACTAATTTTGGAGCTACACCAGCCTCCTAAGGGAAGACAGTCTGTAGTCCATCTTGTGAAAAACCCTCCACATTTTGCTATGGTCTTTCTTAATTTTCCTTGCTAATTCTGTTTTATGGACAATATATCTTTCTATGTATGTATCCTGATGAAAGAAAAAAGAAAACAAGCATTTATTAAGTGCCTACTATGTGCCATGCATTTTACTAAGGACATTATAAAAATTATATTACATTATAAAAATTATCTCATATAATCCTCACAACAGCCCTGTGAGGTAAGAGCTATTATTATCCTCATTTTACAACTGAGGAAACTAAGACAGACAGCAGTTAAATGAATTGCTCAGAATCACACAGCTATAAAGGTGGGAAACGAACTCAGGTCTTCCTGACTCCAGGTCAATGCTCTATCCACTATACCACCTAGCAGATACAGCAGATCAACAATAGCGTTCCCAAACTATAGTTTGTTCAGTAGTCTGAAGAGTATTTTTTCTAGACCAGAGATTATTAACCTGGAGTCTGTGAACTTGTTTTTGTTTTTTATATTTTGATAACAGTATTTCAATATAATTGGTTCCCATGGCAATTTTATTTTTTTATATTTTGATAACAAGTATTTCAATATAATTGGTTCCCATGGCAATTTTATTTATTTTGTATTATGCACTTTAAAACATTATTCTGAAGTAATGGGGTGTCTGGTGTACGTGCAAAGCACTCTGGATGGCACTACTCTATATGGAAACACAAGGGCGTCTGCTTCTGAGAGAAGTATGGTGTTGATCAAGGAAAGTGCTTTGGAAAGACTTTGGAACACACAAAGACATTTTGTAATTCATTCTGGTTGGCTAACTGCATGGTGAGTGAGGGGAGGTTTTCTGATTGTGTGCAGAGGCATTCAAAAAGATCTGATCCATCAACCCCATCACTCTTGGGGAATCTTGGACTCTGCATTCAGGATGTTCAGTGGGAGACCATGCTGGAAGGGGAAAAGTCTTGGGGCTTTCTTCATCTGAGGCTGCTGTGGACAAACCCCCACATGTAGTGAGTACATTCTGCCCACTGTCCCATAACCAGGCTGGCTGAGTCACCCCCTCAGTGTGCTAGGGCACTCTGAGGAGAGGCTATATTCTCCTCCATGGTTAAGGAGATAGTGACTAGTGTCCTGGTTCTATTTAACATCAACTGGCTTTCACAAAGGGATAGGAACTTCAAAAGTGCTAGCAATAACTAGCATACAAACATTTTCCCCAACACCTTGAGGCGTACTTTCTTCTACACCACCTTGATCTCTTGCAGGAAGTAGGCTAATAACTTACTTCAGATCTTTCATAACATTGGTTCCACCAAATTTATGTCCAGATACAACATGACTGCTAGATGTATGGACGTCTCAGTTACCACTAGCCTAGGTCTCAAACGTCATTTCTGAAGGTCATTTTTTGCTCTTTGGAGCATCAAAGCTAGACGCAAACCTGTGAACTCTGGAATGCAGAATGCCAAGGGATGCTCTGGACCTAGATGCTTCTTAAGGTTCTCCATTCCCTATCACTTGTCCTGTCTCTAAGGCCTGCAGACACCTAGCAACTGTCATCTGACCTACTGATATAACCCAAAGACCCTGAGACCTTGACATCTACTCCACTGATACACCCTCAGAACTGTACCAATTACAATGGCAGCTGGCAGGGACTGTCTTACTTTTTCTGTTTGTATCCCCAGTACTTCACGCATACACAGTAAGTACGTAGCAAATGCTTCCCCCCTCCCCATTCATTCATTCATCCAAAAATATTTAAAAAACAGCATCATTATCTAGTGCTTAAGTCAAAACAGAATAGAATGTGTAGGTGAAGTTATCATCTCTGCCAGTGAATGGGTAAACCTATTAGTCACATGTAGATGTCCCTCATCTCTGCTTCCTTCTAACACTTACTTAAAGTTTTTCCAACATATTTACTTACCTAAACTCACATTTAAACACTTCTATAAATGTTAAGTAGTAAAACTTATACCACCTCCCAAACAGGGTTGTTTCAAGGATCAAACGAGAGGTGTGCAAAGCATTCTGTACACATTAAAGCACTATGGCTGCCATTTTTATTATCTCATCTTTTACATATACTCACATATATTCATCCTTATCCACACATAATCAATATGGTCAAGAGTAGGAAAATGATTAACAATGTTTTTTTCAGAGTTCCATCTCAGAGTAATCTTCCAAAGGCCTGCAGACAGTCTAGCAGACAGTTTTAGCAATAAATCTTAATTGCTGTACCATTTAAAATGCAGAGTTGACAAGTCTGATATGCTTAATGCACAATTATTAAGAATAAACTACAACTGCTTCCGCCCTGAGCTTTTGAAAATTGCTAAATTTAAAAATTGCTAATTATTTTGAAGCTAAAAACCATGTACTTAAACTGGGCTGTAAAAGAAAATTTATTAAACAAGTTGAGCAAGGTTAATGATCTGTGGAATTTTAGCTAAAGTATCAATGAGATTTACTGAAAATGTGAAAATTTTGATCCACTTCTCAACCATACAATTTGTTGAGTACAGACAAGTGTCCCAATTTTAATAGAATTTGGGCTACCATTAAACTGTTACTTACCTCTTCCTTCATCTAAAAGCTGCTAACTTCTTTTCTGTAACAATTTCTAATTTTCATGAAGACTAGTGATCACTAGGGTGTGGGAAAGGAATGGAAGAGAGGAAGAAAAGAAAGGAAATAATAGCAAAGTGTCAGATGTGTTACGTAGGAGGAAGGAGAAGGTGGCACCACTGATGGCTACATTTTGTTCCATCCTCCTTCTGTCCCCTCCATCCCTGACTCAACCCCAGGAATTCCAGCAAATCACAGAGAATGAGTTATGGAGGTGGCAACCTATTTGGAAAACCAGCAGGAAAGGCTTTGAGAGCTCTACCATCAATTCCCAAACTACTGGCTAAGGACTGAAAACTTAGTCAAAGGCTTCTCTAACTCCAACGATATCTTCACTCAAACTTTATAACATTAAGAATTGATATTTTCATACTGATTTAATATTTACAATGTTTTATATACAGTAATCGATTTGAGTTCCATAAGATAGGTAACTGTACTAACACCCCCATTTCACAAAAAAGAGGACTGAGGCGCTAAGAGTTTAAATCATTTGCCCCGTCACACAGAGCTAAAAGCAGGGCTGAGTTCCTTCTTCCTGACCAGACTCCATCTCTGCTGTATTCACTGCCACACAAAGTCACTAAAACACCATCAAGGTAGAAAACATTTAAGGACAATTGGCATATAGATATGACATCCACAGGGGAAGATCTGAAACAAAATTTGTCTATTGGGCTTAAAATTAAATAATGAGAAAAGCATAATCAAGACTGTCAGAAATGATTGCTGAGACATAGCTAGGGTCTTCTGAAAGATTACGGAGAATATGAGAGGTTTCATTCCAGAGGAGATGGGCAGGGAACGTTATCTTGATTTGCAAAAGAAGCAAGAGTCTGTAAGCTATAGGTCAGTGAGTTTAACTTCACTTCCTTGCAAAATTATTGAATTTACAATTAAAAGAATTAATTAATTAATTAGTTAATTAATGCCTGGAAAGAAATCAGTGATCCTAAGGATGTAACATGGTTTCATCAAAAATAGTTGAAGCCAGACTAAATTGATTTGATTTTTTAACTATATATAATAATGTTTCAATTTCAAAGTAAATTGCAATCATTGCTTGAATGCTGGATGCCAGTAATAAATTTTCCTCCACTTTAGCCTAGTGTTCTGTTCCCTGCATCTCTCCCATTCTGTTTATTATCTTTCCCCTTCATTTTGCACTAGTTTTCCCTTAACCTTCCCCTAACCTTAAGCTGACAACTGAGTACAGGAGAATAACAGGAGAATGGCAGGAAGACAGGAGCTTTTTTCTCTTTGTACTTCCTTCTCCCTCATCTTTCATGCCCAATTCTTTTTGCTACTGAAAATTCTATCCCCTGCCAGATCATAAAGCAAGGTGACAGGCAAATCACTAGGGAAGGGTAGTAAATGGGGCCATCTTGGCAGCAAGGTAGCTTGCAGAGATAGGGTCTGCAAGAGAAAGAAAAAAAGACGCAGAGGTAAACTCTCAGTGATAGTGGGAAGGGATCTATCATAGCTTTGTAGGTTGTATAAGGGATATATGTGTACACAGGCACACACACATATACACCAGGCATGTATAAGTCAAGATTTCCAGTATTCATAGAAATTTATATTACAGATCACAGTGATATTATATTATACACTCATGCCTCAGTTCCCTTATCTATACAATAAAGGGATTGGACCAGACAATTTTAAAGTCTATCTGGCATTATCAAAATCCTATAAGTCAAAAATTGTATTTTAAATTATCTTTTAAGGCAGTGCTAATTTTTAATGTGTGCTTAATATGGCTTGCAGAAATGGGGGGAGGGGGGAAGCAGTATTTAAATATATTTTTCCCAATCTAAGCAACATGAGACATTTTAAAATATCTTTTAAAATTGATAAAAGAACGAAGGCTATATTTCCCTATCAATAGCATTCTCTGAATATGCCATATTTCATGTTCTCATATGTTTACTACTTAATGTCTTTGGAGAAGCACATTTACTTTTACATTTTCTACAATTAATTTTTAAAAATACTGTTATGTGATAAATTACCTAATCTGGTTTCCTTCATACATCTTTTCATACAAAAACTTCTTGAAAGTAGTAGTAAGACCAAATATAGACTTGTTCTCTATTTTTTCATTCTTTTGGTTTTATTTTATAATTTCTTGATCTCTCATAGAGTCATTAGGTTCTATTTGCTCCATTCTAATTTTTAAGGAATTCCTCAGTGACCTTTTGGACCTCCTTTTCCATCTGGTCAATTCTGCTTTTTAAGGCATTCTTCTCCTCACTGGCTTTTTGGACCTCCTTTGCCACTTGGTCTAGTCTATTTTTTAAGGTGTTATTTTCTTCAGTATTTTTGTGGGTCTCTTTTAGCAAGCTGTTGACTCATTTTTCATGATTTTCTTGTTTCACTCTCATTTCTCTTCCTAATTTTTCCTCTACATATCTTACTTGATTTTCAAAATCCTTTTTGGGCTCTTCCATGGCCTGAGACCAATTCATATTTTTCTTAGAAGCTCTGGATGTAGGAGCTTTGACTTTGTTGTTTTCTTCTGAGTGTATGTTTTGACCTTCCTTGTCACCAAAGTAAGTTTCTATAGTCTGAGGTTTTTTCCCTTGTTTGCTCATTTCCCCCAACCAATTACTTGATTTTTTAACTCTTTGTTAAGGTAAGGCTCTGCTTCCAGTGTGGAGGGCATAGTGTCCCAATCTTCAGGGGGTTTGTGCAGCTGTTTTCAGAGATACTTCTAGAGACCTGTAAGTTTTCAGTTCTTCCAAGGTGGTATGATCTAAGGAGAGGTATTTACTCCTCTCCTGGCCTGTACTCTGGTCTGAGAGTGATCACAAACACTCTTTTCTGCCCTGGAACCACATGTGATTCCCTCCTCACTGCTGCCACAAGCTCTGCTATACTAGTGCTCCTCCTCGCCCCAGGACTACCACCCAGATCCAAGCATGGGCAAAGCAACAGAATTCTGCCTCAGTGCCAGCAAAGAGACCCCAGTAATCGCCTTCTGATCAGTTGTTCGATCCTCTTACCATCTATGGGCTGAGAGTTCCAGAAGCAGCTGCTGCCACCACCCTGGGACTGTGCTGGGGCCGGGGCTGGACTGTGCTCCTCTCTCACTCAGGTCCAATAGACCTTTCCTACTGACCTTCTAAGTTGTCTTTGGTGTTTGTGGGTTGAGAAGTCTGGAAACTGCCAAAGCTGCCAGTGATCCAGTCCCCTGAGGCCAGTTCCAGGTTTGTTGGGGCCCAGTCTATGGGTGCGGCCCACACTAGACTGCATTCCTCTCTCAGCCTGGCACAACAGACCCTTCCTGTTGACCTTCCAGGTTGTCCTGGGCTGGAAATTTGCTTCCCTCTGTCTTTTTGTGGGTTCTGCTGCTCTAGAATTTGTTTAGAGTCATTTTTTACAGGTATTTGGAGGAGAGCTCAAATGAGTTCCTGCGTTTACTCTGCCATCTTGGATCTGCCCCAAATGCCTATAGACTCTTCTCTAGCTGCATCCCATAGATTCAATTTTATATATAGTTTGCAGCATTGAATATTATTTTTATGGATATCAGAAAAGAAGATAAAGCATCACTAAGAAAAAACAGAATGCAACCCACCAATTTAATCAAACAATAGGAAAAGGGAGAAAAGTACTTCATAAGCAACTGTGACCTCACTATTATACCATTGTTATTGTTGTTTGTCCTTCTTTTTGAAGACCAATGACATCACGAATAAGTGATGTCCTGACTTACACATGAATTGGACTTAAGTGAGGCAGAGTTGCGCAAATTATCTAAGCTCAGATTGGAAAGAAAAAAGCCTGCCTTCCAGCCCTCAAGATTTAACTTCATCAGTTACTTGAAAGCAACAATTTACTAACAGAACAAAAGGATCTCCCTACACACATACACATAAAAATTAACAAATTTTTACAAATATTTTTTCAAAAATTTAATCAAGCATCATGTTAAGTTCTAAGAATCCATGATCTCCTTACCATTTGGGGTCCAACATTCACATTTATTGGTCCTAAGGTTTTTGGTAAAATCTTTGTTGTTGAATTGGTGCTGGAAACCGGAAATGCAACAAGTGAAATGTTACCTAAAAAAAATGGCAAAAACTCATTAGTTTTCTGAAATTTCAAGGCATTTTTAATACCAGGATTGCTGGTTCCCAACCCCTTTTCTGAGACAAACTGGAAGTATCCATAATTTTTTTTGAAGAGTAAAGTTCTATAAAATTATCTAAACAAGCTAACTTAAATTTATTTTAATTTTTTAAAAGTATGTGCTGTATAAGGAAACAAGTCAGTTGTTACTGAGAGAAGAGAATTTCAACTCCCCAAAAAAGTAATTGAAGTAGCATCTCTAAACAGGAGTAGTGAGTTTTTTTGAGGAAAAACAGTCAACCAGTAGCAAAAGTATATGTCATCCCCAAATAAAAGTTAGCTTTTCCAAAACTAATCAGAAAAAAATGAAATAAATCAGTTCTTTTTTGAGTCTCAACTTGCTAAATCCTTTGAAATACAGTGCCATGAAATAGAGTAATGTTGAACATTTAATTTTAATACTTTTTTTTTGTTTTGTGGACTATTCTGATGCTGCCCCTGCAGTATTTAACTACTCTCCATCATTTTACAGTCCATTACATTCATACACCACAACTTGCTCAGCCATTTCCCAATTGATGGGCATCCCCTCAATTTCCAGTTCTTGGCCACCACAAAAAGAGCTGCTATGAATATTTTTGTACATGTTGGTCCTTTTCCCATTTGTTTGATCTCTTTGGGATATAGCCCTAGAAGTGCTATTGCTGGATCAAAGGGTATGCACATTTTTGTAGCCCTTTGGGCATAGTTCCAAATTGTTCTCCAAAATGGTTGGATCATTTCACAACTCCACCAACAATGCATTAGCGTTCCAATTTTCCCACATCCTCTCCAACATTTATCATTTTCCTCTTTTGTCATGTTGGCCAATCTGATAGGTGTGATGTGGTACCTCAGAGTTGTTTTGATTTGCATTTCTCTAATCAATAACGATTTAGAGCATTTTTTCATATGACTATAGATGGCTTTAATTTCTTCATCTGAGAACTGCCTGTTCATATCCTTTGACCATTTATCAATTGGGGAATGGCTTGTAGAACTTTTTTTTTTTAAAGAGGAAGATAGTTCAATTTTTTTTAACTTTATGCTAACATACATCAACCATATCTGACAGTATATGTAAAATCCAACATCTTGTATAGCTGAATGACTTTTAATTTTTTTCCCTTTGATCTGTTTTCTAGGTAAGTTGTTGTTTTTGCTACGTAAGATGACTTATATTTCCTTCTATTTTTTTTTTCACAGCCTTTTGACTCTGTTTTAATATATCTTGTTGCCTCATGGATTCAATGGCTTCTATGTGGTTCATTCAAATTTTCAGTAAGCTTGTTGCCTGGACAAGATTTTGTAGCTCTTCTGCCAAGCTGTTTATTCCCTTTCCAATTTTTCTTCCATAGCGATCATTTCTTTTCTCATTTTTCCCTCAAGAATTCTCAATCCATTTATAAAAACATTTTAAAACTCTCACTGCATCTCTTCCAGGAATTCTACCTGAATTTGTGCTCAAGCTGTTTTTTTTTCTCTAAGGAATTGCTTGGAGATGTTTTGGAGTTGTTCTCTTCTTCTGTTTGTATCTAGAGCGTCCCTGCCATAATAATAGCTCATTATGGTGGGTCGTTTTTTGGGTTGTTTTTTTTTTCCTCTCTCTCTGCCTATTCTTCCAGGGACTTGATGTCAGAGCTAGGTTCTACAGTGCTGGGCTAGTACTACTGCTGTGTTCTTGGGAGTATTAAATGTTATTCCAGGATCTCAGGTACAAGTTGGGGACCTGCAAGTTTTCAGTACTCCCAAAATGGTCTGATCTAGGGTAACATTTGATTGCTGCTCCCTGATCTGAGCTCTGTAAGTTTTAGATATGGATTTTGGTCTGCTCCAAAGTAGAATGCTGGACTCCACCTTGAAGCTATGTATGTTAAAAGATAATTGAGGCGCAGCTAGGTGGCGCAGTGGATAGAGCACTGACCCTGAAGTCAGGAAGACCAGACACTTGACACTTACTAGCTGTATGACCCTGGACAAGTCAATGAACTCTGACCGCCTGGCAAAAAAAAAAAAAACAGCCAGGTAATTGGTATCCTGAAGTCAAAACTTAACAGGAAGAACACATTTCGAGCAATTAACACATAAGCATGTATACTTTTGACACAGTAAAATACACAGCAGATCTAAACCAAAACCAACACACTTCCATAAACACAGGGCTCATTGCCCTAAGGCAAGTATGGAAAGATTAACATTTCTTCAAAATGGAAGAGAATATAGAAATAGAACACCTAATAAACAGGTTAAAAATTTACAGAAATGCTTCTGGAACAAACAAACCTCACTTCAAAAAGCCAACAGTAAAGGCTGACAACATGTATATGCCACCACTGTATTCATTTAATGTTAATGAAACTGGTTTCTCTCTAGAAAGAACAAATGAAACCCTTTAAGATCAAAGATCAATACCCCATAGGCAACATCTACATCAACAAATATGGTGATAAATAAGATTCAAATAAATGTTGTGTCAACCAGATTTGTTTAAAGAAACCTAAGGGTTTATAATAGTGATTCTAGATCAGGTCACTGCAAAAAGCTAGCATCTACCAGATATCTAAAAAGACATAATCAAGCAAGATGGCTAAAATTATACACTAATTAGGTGGCACAGTGTATAGAGCACCAGGCCTGGAGTTAGGAAGACCTGAGCTCATCTCCAGCCCATGACACTATCTGTGTGACCTTGGGCAAGTATTTAATCCCTATTTCCCTCAGTTCCTCATCTGTAAAATGAGCTGGAGAAAGAAATGGAAAAATATTCCAGTATCTTTGCCAAGAAAACCTCAAAAGGGGTCACTGAGAGTCACAACTGAAAAACGACTAAACAACAAAAACAGAAGCTTGCTATCCTTTAGAAATCAACAAATAGCAAATCCTCACACTACAAATATATAACCCCCTTCCCCAAACATCTTTAAGAATAAACAGCGTATAGTGGGACTGAAGCACCATAACAGACAGAACCATAGCCCATAACTGTCTGAACATACCACTGACTCATAAAAATTTAGGACAAATGTTTTTAAAAGATGTCACACCAAACTTAATATTCATAATTTCCAAACTACATGAAACAAAAAGTCTTTAAAATATTAGGCCCCAAAGAGGAAATTAAAGCCATTAGTGAACAGGACAAAGTACATATCATCTCTGCCATCTACTGGAGTTGTCCCAAAGATGCTTTTAATGAGTTTATGGAAGAGGAGTTGACATTTCAATACTCTTTACTTGAGTACAAAAAAGCAGTCATTTTATCTACCTGAGCAATAATCCTCCAAACTTCAAGTACAAAAGGACAACAGCAGGATAGTCACTTGTCTCTGGGTTGTTTCTATCTTAATTCCATCAAAAAAGATGAGAAGATAAAAATAACAACACTATTGTTACAGGACTGTGTTAACTCTTGTATTTATTTTTGGCTATTTGCTTTTGCTTCTATCTTTAATATTTATCCTTTTCAAATCTAAACATATTTTAGACCTCCCCATGCTGCCACACGGTTCTCTTTAGACATCTTTTCCTTTTCTTCTTTATGAGATTCATTAATGATTATTTCATCAGAATTTCCTACTTCAGAGTCTTTCATAGCTTTCTGAAAATGGGTATTTATTCTTAATAAAATTTTACATGTTTTTCAAAATGTTGGGTTACAGGGAAAGATTTATATGTAAGAAAACAACTTGAGAATAGCACAATATAAAATTGTGTGTTTACAGATAAGTATAAAAGGAGTTCAGAGAAGGATTTATGGGATGGAGACTTAACAGGTAATCATAAAATTACAAAATTTCAGACAAAAAAACTCAGTTTCAGGTCCCACTGACCTATTCAAGATCACAAAACTCAAGCAGAACTTGAACTTGGTAGTTTGAGACAGATGGGGACAGGAAAAAAAGAGCATTCCAGATAGGAACAACAATATGAACAAAAATACATTTTCCCTTTCTGCTACTTCCATCTCTACTTCCTATGAACATGACTAGGTATATAAAATACACATTTTTAATTTTTATTGACCTTTTGCTTTTACATAGCCTTGTTTTCTAAATGTACTCCTTCCCATTCCCCATTACAAAAAGCCACCCCTGATTAAAAAAAAAAAGATTAAAATGGGAATATGGCACATGTGAAGACTCCATCAACTTGCTAAGATGGCATCATCTGCATGAAGGATGCTAGAGTGTGGCTTCTGGTAAAGTCATGAAGACTGCAGCACACGTGGACATTCTGTAACTGGTTCTGGTTATCCTAGCATATGGTTGTGCAACAGTTTTGTTTTTTTTTTTCCACTGCCATGGAGCCTGAAGAGTAGGCATTTTCAAAAGGACTTCCACATTCCCCAACTGATAAATGGTCAAAGGATATGAACAGGCAGTCCTCTGAGGAAGAAATTAAAGCTATCTATAGTCAGATGAAACAATGTTCTAAATCACTATTGATTAGAGAAATGCAAATCAAAATGACTCTGAGGTACCACATTACACCTAACAGATTGGCTAACATGATAAAACAGGTCAATGATAATAAATGTTGGAGAAGATGTGGGAAAACTGAAACACTAATACATTGTTGGTGGAGTTGTGAAATGATCCAACCATTCTGAAGAGCAATTTGGAACTACACCCAAAAGGCTATAAAAATGTACATACCCTTTGACCCAGCAATAGCACTTCTGGAGCTATATCCCAAAGAGATCATACAAATGGGAAAAGGACCCACGTGTACAAAAACATACATTGCAGCTCTTTTTGTGGTGGCCAAGAACTGGAAATTGAGGGGATGCCCATCAATTGGGGAATGGCTGAGCAAGTTGTGGTGTATGAATGTAATGGAATACTACTGTGGTATAAGAAAGGATGAGCAGGCAGTCTTCAAAAAACCTTGGAAAGACTTACATGAACTGATGCAGAGTGAAATGAACAGAACCAGGAGAACACTGTACACAGTA